GGTATGCGGAGAAGCCAGAAGGAGGCGTAAACGGATTCTCGCTGATGTTCAATCCCCCGATTCCGTGGCGAGCAAGAAGGAAGCAGATGGCGCCACCCCAACTAGGTAGAACGGGTAGAAGAGGACGTTGCCCGGTGTGGAGTGCAGAGCGTGACCATCCTGGCGTCCGAGCTCCTTCCCGCCTCCATTCCCCCGTCGATCCCCAGTGTCGAGCTGCTCTGGCAAAATGCGGGGTCTGTGCTAGACAGCATGTGATGGGGCCGAGGGCCTAACCTGATGAGGGCATGGTGGCTTCTCCTGTCGATGCAGACAACAACTCGACGTCGGCGGAAGTCAAGGTTGAGGATCACGTCGATGAGTTTTGGGTTCTGGAGTTGCGGAGGAAGAGCGTTGCATCTGGAAGCGAGGCAGGTGTGTCGAGTGCCAGCAGCGTGCCCTTGTCCCGTGTGCCTGCTTTCTGTCCGCTGACCAGCACTGCAGTGCCCACTCCCGGTAATGGTATTGGTGCTGCTTACACTACATTCTCCAAAAGTCAATCGAGCGAGATCTATCCTACCACGATGAACCGCCGATTGCAGAAATTCGTCAACCAGGGGTCCATACTACAGTCTGACGTCTGCCGTGCATGCAGGTCATTTGTCCTGTGTTAGCCACTGCACGCGGTGCGTTTACTGAATTCCCCGTAGTCATTTACCCACTTGGCTTGTGCAACAGGCTGTTCCGAATCGGCGGTATAGCATGTCGCAGCTTCTGGTTGCCTGCAGCAAACGGAAAACGTATGCCTGCATCACTGATGACCCAGTCATAAAATCTGGCGTTGCGTGTTGTTCTCCATGCCATTCACATAGAGAAGGCAATGTACCTTGGTACAGCCCTACGGATAGGCCCAAAGTGTTTGGATGCTGCAAGAATTGAGTGCCAGGCTTCTCGATGTTGAGAAATATGGCATTCGCTCACTCTCTACTGGCAGCATTCTGGACTGTCTCCACAGACTTTGGCAAAGAGCAGACTTTCATCTCGCGGTTGACAACACCAGATCGCAAGCCCTCGTCATCCCGTCAAGCAAAGCGGCTCGCCTCGCTTATCGAGGAAAAGACTCCCACTCCCTGCACTCAACACGGCCGCCGGAACCTTCGGCTGGCATTGTCGTCATTCGAGTCGTCACAGCCTTAGCGTCACAATTCGCTTCTAGCCGCTCACCCGTTGTCTCGTTTGCCCAACTATCCTTTGGCGTAGTGACTTTTAGTGCCTTTTTTCCGATAATTAACACCCGTCATCTAATCCATGAAACGTTTGCTGCGGTATGATAGAACGTCCAAGTTTACAACGGAACGCATATGAACAGATGACGGCTGTAACTTCCAACAACCGGAACGGACCGCTAATGTCACCTAAGGATATGGTCGTTCCCTATTATGGTTCAGTAACGGCGCCGTCGAAATTCTTCGCAAAAGCAGGGTTCCAGGAAGTCGGCCACGTTAAATCTTGACGGAAGCATGCTGCAACTCCCGCCAAAATTGACGCGGCAGGCACTGCTTTTTGTCTCAAGGAAGAACACGTTGACCATGTGCCGGTTCGGAGGAAAGCCCCGCTCCGTTCCGATACTCCGGAATCACGGCAAATTATGGGGCACTGTCACGATTGCCTCAGCATATGTTCTCCTGCAAGGGTGACGAAGACTTGAACAACCAAATCCTCATCACAGGCCAAAGTCTCGAAGCATGGCGAGGAGGTGACGGCACGAGATGTGCAGCGGCGGGGCAGCATTAGGGAACGGCTCGGGCGTGTGCCGGTCAGGGTGTTCGGAAGAGGAAACGGGGGCCGGTTTTGTTGAGGAGGGCTCGCCCCGTCTGTGTGTTGATCTGATAGTTTGTAGGTTAAATTTGGCTTGGTGGTTCCTTCGAATGCCCGGATCGATGGAGAATCACATGTCAATTGGAAAAAGAAAGGCCCTTGACACGTGCTTCGAAGCAAAATGGTTGATTCAACATGTCGAGAATCATTGCCGTGGACTGGAAAACGAGAGTAGAAACTCGAGCGTTCACGCCAAAATCTGTATGCCCTATCAGGACTAATCATAACGGTGAACAGGTCAGCCATCGGAGCTTTTACTGGGCAAGACGCCCGGCAGACCTTACTCGTTCGTGCGACACACCGGCGGTCTGACCCGACCAACGGGTATGGTAAACGAGCATGCCGGGCGGTCTTGGAGCGCCGCAGGGGCATGGAGACAAGCGACGAGGAAGATGGCGAAAGCTTCCACCGATTCTAAAGCCGATCTCGATGGGGGTTAGCGCCTCTCAACAAAACGCAGGACAGGTGCCCCATGGGCGGGGTAGTAGGTACATCTGGGTCGCATGGATTTACCAGTGTTTTTGCGAAAAGTATTAGCCGACAAGAAGTCACCAGGCCCGTGCTGGCAGTTTTCAGGGTCCCGCCGAAAGAAGCTAGCAGCTCGGAAGCCCACTAAAGATTTTACTGTCCTCAACTTATTCAACAGAAGATACCTATCCTCTGAAAAGGGCATCCACGCTCGTGGAGTGTTCAACGAACATTTTGACATGTGGCAGACAAGGCCCATGTCCAACTCTGACCGAGGCATCGTAGCAATCGAGTTTACAAGACGTCTTCGCTCCGAATGATCCGCCATGGCATGCGTACCATGTAGACGTGACCGACGGCCGGGCCGCGACGGGCAATGACCAGCGCTCAACGAAGTGACATTCAAAGCAACCGGATAGGCCGCCGCAAAGCTGGGCTCCATGAATGACGCCGCCGCGGGGGGGCGAAGCAGCCACTCATGCCTCGACCTCACATGCCTAACTGCTCAAACAGGAAGGAAACCCCAGCCATCCTGGGCTCTCGTTGGTCAACCCTTTGGTTTTTTTCCTTTCCTTCAGTGTGCCTGCTCGCCCTTGCCTGCGCCTGATCTTGAAAGGCAAGGCTCAACCCCATCATCAAGAAAGAGCTTCCGTGACGGATATCCACCCGCCCACTTGTCTACCTTGCACTTGCCCCCCCGACCCCATCCATACCCCCAATCCTGGGATCCTGGCCAGTTATTCCATGTGATGCGCACTACAGCGTGCACGTTGGACCCCGTTCGTCTTGTTGGCCTCGGCTTATTCGTGCCCTCCGAGACAAACCTCTGGTTCTTGAGGCACTGACTGACCGGCCCTGGCCTCTTCCCCCCTACCCACACCCCAGCAGAAAAACTCCAACTAGTACCCCATCCTCCCGTCCTCAAGTTACCTCTTATGTATCCCGGCCCTGCCTCTTGGTGACACCGACTTGTCTCTTGCTTCACAAACATCCTTTGCTCTCGTCACCAGAGTCTCGTCTTCTCCTCTTCGACGCAGGTTCCTGACCTTCCCCGCCTCGAAGACTTTCTCGAGTCGACCTAACGAAACTTCCCACTTGGCCCTGTCGCGCCGGCGCCTCAGATCTCCGTTGGCTTCATTTGACGGCTTTTGCGCAAGCAGCCTCACAACCACCCACCACTGCATTCTGAGGCCAATTGGCTTCCCTCGTCTGCAATATGTCCGGTACTACCATCCTCAGCGAGCTACCGAACTCGTCTCTCTTCCAATTCCCTCCCAGCCACTACCCCATCGGCGTCCCTCCTCCCCCGCCGGGTGTGAGCTCCTCCAACTTCGCCATCCCCGATCACATTTACAATGCCGTCCTGGACCCCCGGGTCCCCATCACCATTGCGGCGACATACGCTGTCACGATCAAGCTTCTCAACCGCTACAATACCTCTACCAACAAGCGCCCTTGGGCTATCAGCAAGACGGGCCCTTTCAAGGTCTTTGTCATCCTCCACAACATCTTCCTTGCTGTCTACTCGGCCTGGACCTTCTGGGGTATGCTCGGTGGCATGCGCCGTGCCATCGTGAGCCCCTTTGGCCCTCACGGCCTGGCAGCCACCGCCGACAG